TTTCCCCCTTCCCCTGCCCTCCCTTGAACCCCTCCATCCCTCCCTATTTACAAAGACTTTGTTTCCATTTTCAGGAAAGGTTATCTTTAAAAAGAGAACCACCAAGCCCACCGTTCTGTTATCCCACCATTCTGGGAGGAAGGAAGATGACAAATTTGAGTCCAGCCTGGACAATTTAGTGAGACCTTGTCTGAAAAACTAAAACCTGGGCTGGGGAAGTAGCTCAGTGGGAAGACCCAGGGTTCAATCCTTAATACAAAAATAAAATCACCATGCTGTACATGTATGATTTTTTTCTCCCCAGTTTCTAATTGTCTCAATGATACAATTTGTGGAAAATTGAAAGACATGTCCTCATCATTTAAAAAAACAAATTATATTCTTTTTTTTTTTTTTTTTGAGACAGGGTCTCCCTATGTAGTTGGCCTTGAACTCACCATGTAGCCCAGGCTGGCCTCAAACTTGGAGCGAATCTCCTTCCTCAGCCTCTCTAGTGCTGAGATTACAGGCATGTGCCACCATGTCCAGCTGATATTCCTTTCCTCCTCAGTTTAACTAAGAGGCGGGTGGCTGATCAGAGGCTTTCTTCTTTTCTGTCTTTTTTCTAGCTCACAGGCAAGAAACTCAAGACACTTGAGGATTTTTTAACATTTGTAATTTTGAGATAATATTAGACATTAAAGTTGCAAAAATACTGTTTCCATATGTCATTTACCCATTTCCCTTGATATTAACGTGTTGACCATAGAAAAAAGAAATTAATACTGATATACTATTAGAGACTGTATTTAAATTTCATCACTAGTCCACTAATTTCCTTCTATATTTTCAGAACCCTACTAAGGCTACCACATTGGATTTAGTTGTAACTTCATTAAGAACAATATTTGCAATTGGGAAAATAGAATCAATTAGGCAGGTCTGGCTTTTAGGGAAGATTTTCTAAGAACTTGGGAGCAATTAACTATATTATTAAAAAGATATATTCCTTAAACTTTTGATTTTTACATGATGACATTTTCTATTAAAGGACACTTTAATCTGCCAAAATAAAATTTGATGAGTGAATGAATGAGTGTATTTCATTATTTTCAAAACATTTTTCCAAGATCTGAAGTTTTGTCATTTGTCCCAGTATTCAGCAGTGGTGCAGAAATGATGTACTAATTGAGCAATTGCCAGTGTCACTAAGTGTCCTTTCCACTGGGATTAAAATGGCACTTACCATCTCGAGCTTGCCCCGGTGCATGACAAGGCTAGATACTGCATAGGCTGTGAGAGCACAGGCAGCAAGAGAGAAGTACGTATTGACAATGGCTCTATACTGGTGGTCTCCAGGTTCAGCAATGGCAGAGTTGAAGCTGGGCCAAAATATCCATAGAAAAAGAGTCCCTGCAAATCATAAGGAGGATATTAGTTCTGAATGGGGAAGACCATGCGAGGGAGGCAGCTTGCTCTGGACACTGATGATATCTCTGACTCTAGGCTTAGCCATCTAAGGAGAAAACGAGAGCATTGAGCAAAGCAATCTTCAAAGGAGGTTCCTTTTTGGGCCTCTTTGCACCTACATTGAAGTTAACTTTCCTGAATGCCTGACCCAAGAGACAAAAGTCAGGCAAGTTCATCCCCACTCACCAATCATTGCAAATAAGTCCGAGTGGTACACAGACTCTTCATTCTTATGCCCCTCTCTCAGGCCAGATCGATATAAGACTCCTGCTACAGCCAAGCCAAAGTAGGCTCCAAAGGCATGGATGGTCATAGATGCCCCAATGTCAGAGGCCTGAGGAGACAAAAGGACATTTGTGTAAATAGAAGTGAAACTGAGTTAAAGAGAAAAATCAGTTAAAGAATGACTTCATTGATTATACAATAAAAAGAAAAAAGAAGCAAGAATCTGTCAAAGAAAGGGAGACAAAACAGGATAGGAAAAAAGACTGCTCCCCAAAGACTTGAAGCTTCAATATGTCAGTTTTTGTGCATATTTTTTCACTTTGCTATACGATGGCATGAAAACCAACTGACTTCCAAGACTGCTTTGAAGAGATATATATTAGTCTCCTCTTTAGGACATAGTAAGTGTTTAACTCAGCACACTCCATTTTCTGCCTCTGCAGGAAAGTTCAGAGTGCCAAGCGGGCAGCCATCTCTGTACTTTTTAAGACAGGAAAATGATACAAATATTTTATGTAAGATTTTCAAATTGGATCAAATTGAAGTGCCAAGAATGTTGTGGCTGTGTTCCATCTTTGACTAGACAGACAGATCCAGTTCCCCTGCAGATCCTTACTTGGTTGGAAGGAGTTTAAAGTGCATTTTCTCCTTAGCTAACGAGGAACTGCTAGATATATTTGAAGTCTAGTTTAAACATCGCTTCCTCAGAGAGTCCTCTTCTTGCTTCTACAGTCTTAATTAGTTACATTTTCTCACACCCATCCCCTAATTATTCTTTGTGTCTTTGAGTGGGTGGATATGCAACTATTACTTTGACTTTTCTATCCCCCACCAGATTGTAAGCTCTGTATGGAGAGACCTTAACTGTTTTGTGTCACTGAGTCACCCACACCTAGAAAACTGTTAAATTTGTTGTTGAATGTAATGTGCAACAGAAGTATAAAAAAATACTAGAGAGTCTTTAAAATATGCTATTTATTATACTTGGGGAAAACCTGTGAAATTTTCAAAAAGGAAAAAAAAATTAAAAACTTATATAAGGTTTTATATAGCACTTTACCTAGTAGTTGAAATATAAATAGGAATTGATCATTGATTGGTAGTACAGTATAATAAAGAATTGTGGAGTTAAAAAAATGTGGATTTAAATCCAGGCTTGGACAGTCATTTAACATCTATCTTTGACCATCAGGTTTATTGTGTATAAATGGTAATAAAAGTGATATGTATTTTATGTTGTTATTGTGAAGATGAATTGAGATGTTTATGAAACCCCTCTTTTATCATAGGCACTCAATGAATGAGAATAAATAAATAGGCATAATAAATAAATGATGGCTATTATTACTCTGACCATTAAGGTTTCCCCTGTGTAGATTGAGAACCCATTACATATTACAGTCAGAATTGATGCTCAGAGATAGGAAAGTATAAATCCTCACTCTTACCATAAATATCTCACCAACCAGAAACTCATTGCCAGCAAAAACAGCAATTTCTAGAATTGTCATGATCAGCATTTGAATGGGACTTGTTTTTCCCAGGACAGCTCCAAAAGAAATTAGAACCGAGGCTGTACTAAAGTCTGCGTTGATCATTCTGAGGGAAAAGAAAGAGTAAGTCAAAGAGTAAAGCACACCAAAGACAAACTGAGTTGGAAAGTTGGACTATATAGCACCAGGTTTTACAGGGTGCAAGCCTCTCCCACCAGGCTCCATCTATTTCCTCCCAGGCCTGTTCTCACTTCCTCTGCTTTCTTCCTCTTTCTTCTTGTCATGCTCTAGGTCAGTGGTGGCAAACCTGTGGCACGCGTGCTGCAGGGGGTGGCTTGTATCATCGAAAGCTCTGCTATTGTGTTTTTCTTTTAAGACAAAAGATTGTTTTTTCTAAACTAACACCTCAGTATTCAGGTTTAATTGCAGCATTAGCACTGCGATAAATAAGTGGGTTTGGGGTTGCACTTTGGGCACTCAGTCTCTAAAAGGTTCGCCATCACTGTTCTAGGTAGTCTCAGTCCTCTTTATTTTTACTTGTCTTTTATCTCATTTGAGGTTTTACTTAACTTTTGTTGAGCTGCAATATGAATTCCTTCCACAGAAATAAGAACACTTGTTTAGATTTTAAAAACAATCTTCAAAAATAACTAATTGGGGAGATTTGCTCTTTATAGAAGGAGATTTCTCCCACATTTAAAGTCAAACTAGAGAATTTAGAGACATGAATGGATGATCCAGCTCAGTAGAGCAAGGGGTTGATTTGGATTCTTAGATTTCAATAAACTTCTGTTGCTTAAGGAGGCATTTACCAGACAGCTCAGAGCCTGAATGAAACTAAGGGAAATAATCGATCAGAAAAAGTGTGGGCTGAAGAGGATCATCTTAGTCTGTTTGGGCTACTATAACAAAATGCCATAGACTGAGTAGCTTACAAACAACAGGAATTTATTTCTCATAATTCTTGAGGCAAAGAAGTCTAAGCTCAAGATACTGACAGATTTGATTTCTGGCAAGGACTTGCTTTTTTATTCATAGATGCTGTTTTCTAGCTGTGTCCTCATTGTGGTCAGAGATGAGGAGTCTCTTTTGACCCTCTTTTATAAGTATACTGTTATGACTTATGTGTAGATGTCTCCCTAAAGCCTCATTTGAACATATGTGGGACCTTTGGAAGGTAATTGCATTATAGAAGCATTATTGCTACTGGCAGTTAGAAGGTGAGGCTTGGTTGGAAGAGATGGGTCACTGTTGCAATGACACAGAAGGTAATCTTCCTTCCTGCCTCCTCCCTCAGCTCCCTGCTTCTGGATCACCATGAGATGAGCATATGAACCAAAATAAACATCCTATAGTTGAGGGTGTGGGTATTGTGTCTCAGCAATGAGGGAAATGAGACAGGCACTAATTCCATTCATGGGCCTCCTGCCCTCATGACTTAATTACCCCCCAAAGGTTTCATCTCTTAACATCACCACCTTAGGGGTTAAGATTTCATCATATAAATTTTTGGGTGGCAGGAGTCACAAACATTCAGACAGACCATAGCAAAGATGCTTACTCTTTGATTCCAATGTGAAATTTCTGCCCATGGCTGTGAAGGAGCCCCTGTGCAATAGTGCCCCACTGGAGGCCCAGAGAAGCAATGAGTAGGTTAATGCCCACGCTGCTGAAGCCATATTTCTTCAGGAAGGTCATGAGAAAGCCAAAGCCAACAAATATCATCACATGCACATCTTGAAATACTGCAAAAGAGCAGAGGAAAAAAGTCTGCATGAGTGGAGTACAAAAAAAATTACATTATAGTGCAATGTGTGATCAAAATACGGTGTGTGTTTAAACTTTAAACATTTTTATTACAGTAAAAAGCACATTGCCATTAATCCTCTGCAGATATTTGAAAATATTCTCTCTCACTTCAAAGACACATACTATCAATTCTTGCCACTTGTTGACGTAGTTCTGGAAGTCCTTTTTGGTGTCTTTAGCTCCTCTCTTGTGACTACCTTGATGCCCTGAATCTATTCAAAATGTTTGTCTCTCATGGTCATTTAGACTTTGGTGAACAATCAAATATACTTTGAGTATGTACTTTGAGCTTTGAGTATTGTGGATGAGGACATACTGTGAGCCCTTTATGAACTTACCTTTCCATTGGATGACACTGGCAGCAGCATTCACCGTATTTTTCTTTAAATCATGCCTTGTATAGACATTCACAAAAGACTTCTTCAAGAACTGCTTCAAAAAGGGACAAGAATGATGGGATAAGTGTGTTTGAAGTGAGGGGATATATTTTGAGGGGGATTAATGGCAATATGCCATTGTGGTAAATTTAAAAAAATCAACATTCACTGTATTTTTCAATCACCCCTTATACATTCCATCTATGAAATGTTACCACTTTTGAACAAAACACTGCCAGAAAGTCACATTAACTGGAAATAAATGATTGGTTGTCATGATTACTTTTTGCTGTGGTATCCCTCTCTGGTTTCATTCTCATCAAGACTGCACCCATTGTATGTGTGATCAGAGATGATGCCCAGAGCTGAGTAAGTGTAAATGCAATGCTAGGCTGGCTACTTGTCTGCCATGAGAACATGCAAATTACTCAGCATTTAAACCTTTTGGAAAACTATGCACTGTTATATGTGTGACTTTCATCCTTTCCCTGAGAAATTTCCTATGATTGTCCAACCAAGGAAAGCTTTGCAGAGCACAGTGTAATTATGACTTCCTCCTGATTTTCCCAATACTTCAAGGGAAAAATTAATGTTTCTTTTTGTCATTTACACAACTTTCTGTGTAGACCTTGGTTTTATTATTTGTCACATTGTATTAACATTTACTTATCATGTTTCACACTGTAATCATTAGTCAGTGAAGTTTCCATCTGCTGTACTAGACAGTTTTTGTTGTTAGTGATGGGAATTAAACCCTGGGCCTTGTGCATGAAACGCAAGTGCCCTACCACTGAGCTACACCCCCAGCCTGAGTTTCTTGATTGAAGGGATTAGGACACACTCATCTTTCACTCCCTTGAACTCAGTATGGTAGCCGAATGTAGGAGAAGAAGCAAAGTATGTTTGATTGATGAATGAATAAACGAATGAGCTACAGCTACAAACCATGGAGCACTAAGCAAACATACAGCCTGTTTTCACTTGAGGAACAAATACTTTACTTGGTGTCTGGAGATCTTCACTTAGGCTTTTTAATTCTAAGACATGATTGTGTGACCTTGGGTGAGTCAAGTCACTTACTATTTATGAACTTTGGTGTTTAATCAAAAATGCTCCTACACAGCACAATGAAATCTTAAGGTCATACTGTACCTTTCTCAAAGTCACAGACACAGTCAACCATGCTATCTAGGCAATTTATTTTTGAAAATAAATCAAGGAGGAACTTAATATTCCTAGTTGTCATGTCCAATGGCCCACTGATATGAAAAGGAATAAAAATAAAATTTTAAGATCTGCCCGCATTGGCCTAAGACCTTAACTAAGGAATGTTCCCAGGGAAAATATCTCTAAAGTACCTAAATCTCTAAACTACCCAACTAATGAGTCCTGATGCCATGGAGACCCTGGAAAATTTTACCAGATCTTGCACAAATAACTTATGTCAAGATCTATTCCTATTTTATTGACATTTGAAAGGACTAAAACTGGATTGTATGGGCTGAAAAGGCAGAACATCCCAACAAAAATCATTTAAATAAAACTTAAACTTGTATTCAATGTACCTACCCTTTTAGCTCTTCCCTGCTGTTTCCCTTAATGGAGAACTTTTGCCTTGCCCAATTTCATTTGCAACAAATCCTGATTTTCCTTTCTCAATGCTTCCCTGTGTCTTGATTCAATTCTTTCCTCAAGAACATAGGAGCTGAGGGTCCCTGCTGCCAGTCCTATAACCTGGGCAGGTTAGAATATCCAAGGCAGCGCTCTGGCCTCCCAGGTGCACAGAGAGGTTAGTACCCTTTGGCTCCTCTCTACCTCAGTTCCACCATCCGCTCTGGAGGCGGTGTGTTTGATGGTGGGAGACTATGATACCCCAGGTTTGCCTACCATAGCGGATGCTATGATACATTGCCTGGACCCCCACTTTAGAATCAAAAGACTTAAACCTCTCATTTCCATGTGGAAATGCTGCTAGAGCATAACATTACTTCTCTCTGGAAAAAACTCTTGTTTTGCTCTCGTCACACCCCTTCCCAGGGTAGTCTGTGCCCAATTACTGATTCCCAAGAGTGTTTGCTCATCTTAGGACCAGCTGAAGTTAAACAATCCCAGCTTTGGAGCCTCCAGAGTGATCAGCTGAGGCCTCCTCTTTCTGCCCCAACCCTTCTTCCCCAGGTATTGAACTGTATAGTATTGATCCTCATCTTGTACTTATCTAGGGAGACCAAGAACCAGGATTTTACCTGGCCTGCTAGTGGCCAACTGTCAACTCACATTAACCTATGAAATACAGGTGACCTTGTATACTTGTTTTCTTTACAAATAGTTTTGCCACCATGTAATGTTTCTATGTACATATTTATTTACATTGTAAGTTAAGTTGGAGGGCAAAAAATATGCATGACTCTTAGGATGGTTTTACTATATCTTTCTAGGATTCTTTTCTTTCTATTTTAGGGAAGATTTGGATCGGATGATGTCCCAATTGTTTTCCAGGTCTACAATTTATTTTATTTTGTTTTTGTGTTAGGACTCTAAGACCCAGAAAACTTAGGTGAGTTGTTTGTAGTCACAAAGCTAGAATAAAAATAAGGATCCAGTTTTACTGTACTGTTATCTTCATATAGTTATTTTAAAAATATTCTTGTTTGTTTCTTAGAGTGCTCTTGTTCTCCTTGCTAGTCTACTGATGTCAAAGTTTGCAATAATCAATAATTGAAAAATGCCCCCCACCCAATTTTGCTACCAGCACTGTACCAAGGTCGTTGTACTTTTATTTTTTTTAATTTTTTAATTTTTATTTTATTTTTTCCCATTAAGTTTATTGGTACATTTTCGGTATAAAATACAGTTACATTCATCATTGGGATCTTGTACCTTTACATGAGTATCTTGGTTCTTATTTTTTTCTCCTTACCTTGCCCTCCCTTCACCCCCTCCACCCTTCCCTATTTGCAAAGACCTTGTTTCCATTTTTTTTCCTCTTCTCATGTTTTTTCCTTTCCCTTTTTTCCCTTCCCCTACCCCTACCAATTCCCCTGGTCTTTTAGACCTTTTCTTCCTGTTACACAATATCAATTATACATTTTTTAAATTACAATATTAAGATCTAGGAGACATTACCACAGATTTTACAGAATTTAGAAGGATATAGAAAGCACATTACAAAAATCTTTTTTGAAATAAATTTGACAACTTCTAAGAAGTGCCTTGGAAGACAAATTAATGAAACTAACTCTGGAGGAAATATAAAATTTGAAGAGCACCTATTAAAGAAAGTATATTCCTAGCTTGAAAACCTACCTATATGACAACAGCAGGCTCATAAACATTTTAACTGATAAATTATATCAAACAATTAAAGCAGAAAAAAGAGAGAACACATCTCCCCTCATTTTAGGAACTCAACATTGTGCTAATCCTAAAACTGGATAAAGATAATAGAAGAAAAAAGTATGAACATAGATAGCAATTTGTTTAACAAAACAAACTATTGGATGTCAGATCTGGCAGGATGTAGAAAGTGGTTTTGTTATAGGGATGGCAGTGATGGTTCAGCATTGGAAGATCCACCCCCAAAAGTCATCATTTTAACAGAGGAAAGGAAAAAGCCATACGATCCTGTCACTAGCTGGAGAAAAAGTATTGGACTAAATTCTACAGCTGTTCATGGTAAAAGCTATCAGGAGACTAGAAGTAGAACAGAACCTTCTCAACAGATTAAAGACATGTACTCCATACTTCCAGCGAGAATGCCTTATATAAATGGAGAAGATACAATGCTTTCTCCTTAAGGTGGGGAACAAGGGCAGATATGCTTACTCTTTATCTGTCCATTCAACTTTGAAACCTAGTCCCCACCAAAATAGTCTGGCAATAAAATGACACAACTAGGATAAGATTGGCATGGCAGAAGCAAAATCTTTATATGTAGATGAAATGATCATCTACAGAGAAAATACTAAGAAATCTCTAGGAGCCCCTAGAACTTGTACTTGAATTTAGCAGGATTAGAAAACACAAGGTATATATAAAAATTCAGGTCTGTGTATACTTGCTATAAATGAAGAATTGGATATTGAAATTTAAAAGTTATGTAGGTGTACAAAGGACCTAGAAAAGTTAAAAACAAAAACAAAAACAAAAACAGTGTTGTACTTTTATTTATGGGACAGTCTCACTAAGTTGCCTGCTCTGGCATTTGGATCCTCTTGCCTCCGCCTCTTGAGTAGCTTCAGTAGTTTTGTAATGTCTCATACTGGGAGAAATCACAGTATGCTTCAGAGCATGTCTCTATTCCCATTTGGTGGAAAACATTTAGTATGAGAAAAAGAGGATTTCCTGTGTTAACTACAAACTTTTCCTCCACCTTTGATCTAATGCTTGTTACTACTTTTTACCACAAGGGGGAACAAAAACCTCAACTATTACTCAAGTGAATAAAGAATCTTACCAAAGTTATGAAGGCTCTTGACAAATAATAAACACATATGAAAAGTAAGATTAAAAATGGCTATAAACAATTAAGATCGTGTATTCTTTTTTTTTAACCCTGCTTTAGGAGATTGGCAGTGAGGAAACAGACAAAGCACCAAGTTTGACTTTGTGCTGCAAGGCTTTGCTATTGAAAGTATATTTACACCTCATAAAGGAAAAAGGGATTTCTTTAGCGGTTTGCGCTTTGGGGTGATTTTCAAGATGCTAAAACATCAGTGGTTCTCAATTTTAGAACCAGAGTGCATTTGGCAGTATCTGAAGATATTTTGTTGCTACAGCTTGAGGGAGAGGGCTAATACTGTTAAAGTCCTTAGGGTTCAGGCCAGGGGTGCTGCTGAGCACCCCATAACACACAGGTAGTACCTCACAACAAGGTTAATAGTGCCACTGTTGAGAAATTCTTATCAAAGTTAAATTATACTTTTATAAGAATTCCATGCTCTCAAACTTTCCATTTCTTTTAAACATTTTAGACCCATGGAGAAAATGCTGACTTGATATATCAAAGACTTTCTGCCCAGTAACAGCATGTTTCACAGTTTTGAGCGAAGAAGGCAGGGGAATGGAACCAAGTACCCAGATTTTCCTTGCTCCCCTCATCCATTCCTTGCTGCCCTGACATTTTCTTAAAAATTAGCAACAGAAAATGGAGCTACTGAAAAATTTAAATGTGGAGAATTCTCAAAGTAATAGAATCCTATAGAGTCTTTTGATTTCCTGTGTCCCTGGCTGGGATATGATTGTGTCCTTCACATTTTAGGGAAGCATCATATGCATTGAGAACACCACCTTAGCTCTATGACAGCTAGCAGTTCATCTTCCATTTGAATTGTTCATTATCTGTATACCTTTGGTCAACCAATCAATCTCCTTAAGCTTCAGTTTCCTTGTCTGTAAAATGAATCCTACTCCATAAGTCTCCATGAAGGCATGGCTTTTGTTTTACTTACCTGCTCATATCTCCAGTAGCTGGGATAGAGTACATGTCAGTACAGAAAAAGCACATAAAGCTCAGGTGTACATGTAACACCCAGTAAGCTTTTACATTCCAATATTGGTATGCATTAGGCCTATATTGTATTCAGGATCAGTCCAAAGGAAGGCAACACAATTTAGTCATTTTCAAATCGTCAAGTCTGTTTCTTTGCCTTTGTAAAAATATTTTATTCATATATATGTTACTTGGTCAAATTGTTTAATCTGTCTAAACCCTAACTTCATTATAGGTTTTTCTTCTTAACATGTACACTAAGGGTTGAGGATTAGAAAATAAATGCAAAGTGAGTTAACATAGTGTCTGGGACAGAGTAAGCGTCATTATAATTATTGTTCTTATCCTAATTTAAAATTTGCACAATTTTGCTTCTGCAAAAGGATTTGGATTTGAAGTTAAAAATCAGAACCCACCAGTATATAATGAATGGATCGTCATCATCATCATCACGGCCTTCACTGCTATCACCACCATCACCCCATTTTTAGTGCCTTCCCCCCAGCTTGGTTTTTGTCTTAAATTCTGAGCCAGGAGCCAGGACACTGGGACTTAGAAAGTTCAACTTGAATTATGCAAATTAAACTCTTATAGTCTTAGTATAACTTTATTTAAATAACATTCAGTCTGGATCATATTCTTGGCATTTTTATGACTGTATTAAATTTCTTTGCTTCCATTTGTACCAAATAGTAGAATTTTATAAAAAGGAATTTAAAAATTTTTTTTACTTTATGAAAAAAATAAAAAATTTTCACAATTATTTGTTTTATCTTTGAATAAATTTAATGTGGCACATGCGTGATACTTAAAAATATTAAATGAATAAATTAGAAAATATTTACAAAAACATACAGACTTGAACATAATTTTATTCTATTTTCTTGTTCTTTCACTTGGTAATTATAAGACTGTTTAGACAAAAATCCTTTTAGGGCTGGGGGTTTAGCTCAGTGGTTTCTCCACCTGCTGTGCAAGCACAAGGACCTGAGTTCGATCCCTGGTACCAAAAAAAAAAAACCCAAAAATCCTTTTAGATATCTTTGCAGTATAATGGCAACTAGACTTGGAGTCTGAGTCTGACTTAGAGGCTTAACCCTGCTCTTAACTTTCAATTTTGTATTTTTGCTAAGTCACTATAGGTTATCATTTCTACATGACAAAATCCCCTATTATGTTCTTCTTTAAAAATGTAGGAAAGAATACACAAATGTCAAAAATTTTATTTTTTTTGGTACCGGGGATTGAACTCGGGTCCTTGTGCTTGCGAGAGCCAGGCAGCAGAACCACTGAGCTAAATCCCCAGCCCTGTCAAATTGTTTTTCAAAAGCTTAGACATATGCTATATACTATAATGATTTTGCTACTATTTTAAATTGTTTTAAAATTCTAGAAGTATTTCTGCTCTATTTTTAAAAAAAGTAATCTATGTAACAATCTACTATGATCTCCCTCTCTGGTTAATGAGGTAATGTGACTTGTTCATAGTAAGCATTCTGTTAATTGTTGTTACTGTAATAATAATAATATTCACTATTTCATAGCCTACCTTTCTAAACTCAAAATCTTATTTCTGTGTTCCCTCTGTCACCGTTCCTATGGAAGGACTCTGCTTTGACAGTATGTTAGGTGCTCACAATTTTCTTTTAATCTCATAGGAACAAATTGTCTTCCTTTCAGAATATGATAAAACCTGGAGTAGCTGAGTAATGTTAAATTAAGTTTAAATTAAAACTCTACTAACTTTCTCCATTTTCCCAGATACTCCTTCTTGTAACTTAGAATCTGACAGGGGATCCAGGCTCCCTTTTTGTCACTCTATTTTGTTTTCCAGTCTCTCTTCTACGAAGTTCACTATGGTTTTTGGGGGTTAGGGGATAAGAGTTAACATTTTTATTCCTTAAAAGAACTTGTGATTAATTCAAGAGATAAAGAAGGACACTTAGAAGTAGGTATGAGATGCAAAAATAATACATTATTTTAATTTTAAACTTCTTGTTCTGATTGTTGCACAAAGAATCTATCCAAATGCCTTAATCAGAGAGAGAGACCAGATGCCTCAGCGGAAATGTGTATGATTATGTAATTCAACAGCATTCATAATTATCACATAATTCTACAAGTTTCTCAAAGCTTACAGTATTACAATATTCAAAGATTTTCCCATTCCGCAAACTCAAAAAACCCAAAAGTGTGAAATAAGAAATAAATTGCCTACTCACGAGGGTATAGTGGAAGGAAGCTGTCCATTTTTGTTGGCCTGGTGGTGTTCAGTTGTTGGGAAATATTCTGATCTTTCTCATACTGAACATACAAATGAAATAAAACAATCATGGCACCCTCCAGGCCTATGGCCATGAGAGGGAATTTGAACCTCATGTTTGTGGCAAAGGACAGAGACACACTGAGTACTTTAAGGCTGTGAGAAGTTGATAAGAACAGAGGAGAGCTGTGTGTGTGAAATCAGGCTGCACGTTCAAGGCACCCCACTGACGTCACAAGAAGAAATGGGCAAGAATGGTTGAAATGTCCCACCCACTGAAAAATTATGCTCTGTAATCTAATTGTAGTTTTGAATATTAGTTTGAAGAATGAATATACAGTGTAGCTTGGGAGAATCTAGATCTGTTTTACAATGTAGACTGGAAGATATTAAATGATCCATTGCCCAAGTATCTAGAATCCTATTGAACTTAATTCATTAGACTCTTCTTAAGTGTTTTTTTTTATATAAATACCAGAAACTGTCCTAGGCTCTTTAGCAGACACAAATCTAAACTTCCTTGAAGAAATTAGGAATTTAGCTGTGGAGACATATATATAAGCACATGGTTGTGTAAAAACAAATAAGTAATAAGACAGTAGCTACAAAAGTATCAGAAAACAAATTATTATACAGCACAATTTTATTTTTAATACATATTGCCTTGGGCTAACAACCACTATCATGTGAGATGATATTGATATGTAAACTAAAAAAAGAATGATATATTTCCTGTAAAAGAGACAAAAGGAACAGCATAAATTTTGAAGAACATGGCATATTTAAGAAATAGCAAACAGTTAAACAAACTAATGGAGAGGGAAAGAAGGAGTAGCCGGAACTGGACCGGACTGTGAAGGGTCTTGCACTCAGTATTAAGGATGATAGATGTTAGATGTTATCCCATTGACAATGGCCAGTATGGAGCAATATAAGAAGCAATTTTGCCTATTTAGTATGTTTTTCTTTTTTTGAAATTAATTTAGGCAATTTTATTTTTATGTTTTTATTATAATTGTTAGCACATATTAATTAATTGTACAAAATAATAGATTTAATTATGAGGTTTTCATACATGCATGTAATGTTCTGTGTATCATCTTCCCTGTTACCCTCTTACATTCTTACTTTTCTCCCCACTGTCCTCTTTTCCTTCTCTTGACATCCTTTTCTTGTGCTGTGTGTGTTTGTGTGTGTGTGTGTGTGTTTGTGTGTGTGTGTGTGTGTGTGTGTGTGTGTGTCTTTCTGATATGTTTTTCCACAATAAATAGAACAATAAGTCTTAGGACTAAACAATGTCTGAAATTTTACAAATATGTGACTCATACTTGGAAAATGGTATTTCTATTGTTCTTGCTAGCAGGCCCAGCTGGATGGGTTCACATGCCTACCTATGGGGATGTACATGTTTGCCCTGCATGTTGATTTCTGGCTTTGTAGTTGCCTAAAGAGGGTTCATGAGAACATCAACAAATCATAAATTTAAAGAATTTATATTAACAAACCATACAAATGCTTGTGAAAAACAAGCACCAAATTATACATTGCAAGAACATTTAACCAATATAAATCGTTTCAAAATTATTTAATAATGTGATAAAACATGTTAAATAACCCAAGACCTATTGCATCACTCCTTTTCTGTGACACTTCTAGTAGCTCAGTAATCAGCCAGCACACTGAAAACAGAAGTTTCTGTTGGTACACTTGATGAAACTGTTGAAGGATTTGGGTTCAGCATGCTCACTTTGAGGAGCTCAGGTTTGTTGCTCTTCTTCCAGACGTAGACCTTTGTACTGAAATAAGCTGCATCACATATGACTTGGGAAATGAACTATTTCTCTTTTTCAGCTTTTCACCCACAATTTTCTCTCTGAGTAAAACACTCTTTCCATAGGTTCTCTCCTCCACAGGTAGCATTATTCAGTTCTCAGATAAAATGTCACTTGCTCAGCAAAGCCTTCCTTGATCTCCTATTTTAAGTAAGGTTCTCACTATTCTCTCTCTATATTAGTCAGCTTTCTGTCATTCTGATGAAGTGCTCAACAAAATTATAAAAGGAAAGGTTTATTTTTGGCTCACAGTTTTCAAAGTTTTAGTCAAAGTTTGGGCAAATCTATTGTCTTGGCTTCTGGTGGAGCGCCAGATGACAATGGCAGGGAATATATGGTGGAGAAAACTGCTTACCTCATCATAAGGAAGAAAAAGGAGAAAAAGAAAGGGGCCCAGAATTCCATAAATCACCTTTATAACACACCCCCAATGACTTAAGGACCTGGCCCCACCTCTTAAAAGTTTATTACCTCCCAATAATGCCACCCCAGGGCCAAAGCCTTTATTTAAAATGCTTTTGGAGGCTATTTAATATCTTAATTATTCCACTTTTATTAAATTATAGTCATTTCTTAGCACTTAGCATAGATGGCTGTGTGTGCTGTATCTATGCGTAATTTGAATAAATGGGCTGTTTCTCTTACTGGTCTGTTAGCTTTACAAGGCAGAGCCTGTTTCTCTGTTTCACTTCATTTTTTATCTGGAGTTAGTACCATGCCCTACACAGTGTAAAATCAAGAAATATCATTTGAATGAATCAAATTAAGGGGAAATTTGAAGGAAAATAAAATCTCAGAAGGTAGTACAAATGGTGTGAGGGAGGAAGAGAGTGATGGCCTTCCCTTAATAAATTGTATATTAAATTATAGATAGCAACTTTAGTATTGTCTACTCTCTCCTTGTTCTAATCAATGAGAGTTTAATCGTCAGGATCTCTGTGTCTGGAACAAAATTGAGTATGGAACTCAAACCAAGAAGCTTGAGAAGGATCAAAGATCTGGCAGGGTGGACACTTGACAGTGTGACCCTGAAGATTCCATCAGCCCTGTACAAAACTTCTCTCCTGACAGTTCTTGATTATGAAGTGAACGTGTTGGAGGATGCAGGTATGTTCACGTGCAGAGGATTTACCTGTTGCCATGTCTGCTTTGAAACCACAGCCTGGGTCTCTTTTAATGCCTTTTAGTAAAGGAGGTGAAACTGGAAAGAATCTTGAATGGGTAGTCACGCTCTTATCTTAGACTGATCCTTGAATTGCTGTGTGGCTTTAGGAAAGTAACACATTTTTTTCCTCAATTATTGAATACATGGAAAGCATATTTAATAGTCATTAGAAACTTCCTATTAGTAAATAGTGATTGCAATAGTACCACCACTTCTTTTAAGTCCCTCCCTGCTTTGTGTGTCCACTAAGCTGGAGCAAGATGCAGCTTTAGGAAGTCAAAAACACTTAAGAGTTTTCAGTATTTTCTATGTTCTGGACACTGTATTAGGTCTTTATTTACCCATTATTTTAGTCTCATTGAAATTTCATATGTTTTTATATTTTACAAACATAATGTTCTCCACTGGTTCAAATGTGTAGTTAGTCACCCAGCTGCCATACTGGCATGAAATCCATTGACTAGATAGACAGACAGGCATAGATAGAGAGATAGATGAGGAATCTGTCATTAAAGAGCAAGCAAGATGACAAATGTCTAGAGAAGTGTTTTGGAAAAATTTGGAACTTCTATGTAAGCTCAATAAAAATGACGGCATACTATTTAAATAATAAAATCATCAACATGGCTGTAGTCCATGAACAGTTGGAATCATACCAAATTTTTAAATTTTTAGTTTGAATTATTTTAGATTTATAGAAGAGTTGCAAGGATATTAGAGAACTTATCACCTGTCATCAGTTTCCTCCAATGTTAATCTCTCACATGACCATACTATAATTACAAAAAGGGAATAAGACAGTAGTATGCTAGTATTGATACAGTATTATCATCTAAACTGCAGACTTTTTGCTAGTATCTTTCTTGGCTGCAAAGTGGAACCCAGGATGCCATATTGTACTTAGTAAACATGATGTTTTATTCTCTCACTCTTTCTGACAGCTCTGTAGTCTCTACTTGTCTTTCAGATCTCTTCAGAGCCTAGTAAGATATTCTAGAATGTCCCTCAGTCTGGGTTTGTCTGATTTTTTCCTCATAATTAGGCTAGGGTTTTTGATTTTTTGGTTTATATACTGTATAGGCAAAGTGCTTTCATCCCATCATACCAGCTGGTACATAATATTGTTATATCTTCTCACTTTTGATTTTACCTTAACTATCTGGTTAAGGTAGCATTTTAATTCAAAAACGTTCTCTCTTCACAACCTTGCCAAGAAAAAATTATGTCTCAAATATGTATCCCCATGTTCTCTAATAATAAAATGACCATGGTAGCTACTATACAAAAGTAAAGAATAAAGAACAAGCTAGAGAAGGAGAAGAAGATGGAGGAAGAGGGGAAGCAACAAAAATTGCATCTGGATTCTAGTGAGATCCCACCATTGTTGGGCTAGCAGCTGATCTTGCTGGAGTATATGGTTTAAATGAAAGTCAAGTCACAGAAGACAAGCGTCCCCTTGAGCAAGCTGCTTTTCAAAGATAAGGGTGGAACTAAAGTCTTTACTTTGTTATCCTTCTAGAACTTGGTCCCATTCCCCACCACGTTTTATCATAATGCCTCAGCTTGCTCCTCTGTAGCATTACATGTCTTGTGAGCAAGCACTTGGGGACATTTTTAACATCCACTGGCACCTGGTATTTGCCAAGCTTTTTACATCCACCAACTATAATCCTTGAAACAGGCTGTCAAGGTAGTTGTTTATTATCATTTGCTTATTATAATTTTACAAATAGGAAAACACATAAATTAAGTAGTGTTGAAGCCTAATGCTAGTTTGAAAATATCAGTACTTAAATTAAGATGCAAATCTGCCTGACTCTAAAACTGTCATTCTTTTTCTTTAGCTAATTAATTTTGTAGTTCTTCTAAGTGTTTCAGGCATGACTTGGCTTCAGAGAAAGTGTTTCCTTCTATAGATAATTACATTCATTTCTCTTTATAAATAATTATACACATATATGCACACATATGTATGTTCATTAATATATAATTGTAGCTTTTAAATGATAAGCTACAAAGACTTGTATACTTTTTAAATGATTCATACCTACCAAACCATACAATGTAAGTATGAATGTTCTTGTGCTCATTGTTACTGTCATGGCATTTGTTTGCTATTTAATATCTTTTGAGTCTCCCTGTATACATCTGTACACAAATATGCTCTCATATAC